ACCCACCCTACACACACACACACACACACACACACACACACTAGTGATCATGAAGTGATGGAAAACACTGTTGTAATAACACATCATTAACATTTTTCATTCTATTTTAATACACTGCAGAAATCCAAAACTTAAAAGACACGAAACATGCAAATTATGGCAAACAAATAAGCATTTATAAGACTGTCCTCTTGTTCCCATCAAAAATAATTATCCAAAAGTCTAACGTACACGTTACTGTTCAAACGCATCTGAAGTGTTCACACTTAAAAAGGAAGGTACTGAAGCAGGCACAACGTAAAAAAAAAAGGTTCCCATGTGTACATTTATTACGTGTTTAATATTTTGGCTACAAATTGTGCATCTAAAATAATTCCTACCTGCTCATTTCACATGGCCACGGGGGCGCCAACGGGAACAGCCACCTGCTTCCTAACCTTCATCCTCCACATAAACTATCAAAAACAGCTGTTAAGCTTTGTGAGCCAGTAACACAAACACTAAAAACCCTCTAGGATACTAGGATAAAGTGTTTCTAGAAGATGTGAAGATTTAAGCCGAAAGCAGACATATTGTCACTCCCCGAAAAACTCGGCTGCTACGGGTCCTCCCAAGCTAAAATGCAGGAAATGTTTAGTATATTAACAGAGAAGAACATCGGCTTACAGCTAGACAAGCTGAAACAAACATGTGCTAATTATTACTCAGAAAACTATATCAACTTCCAAAGTCGGTGTAATACACACATTATTTGGAGTTCATCTGTTCTATTCGCTTTTAACCTCACTAGAGCTCATGTGTCATATGACTGCGTGAATAAGCTTATGAGAGCAGGCCGCTGAATGAACGCTGGCGAATTACAGCGGGTTTTCCTGTTGAATTTGTCAACTAAAATCAGTATCTCTAGGCCAAAGTATGAATTAATCTATAACTAACCAGCAAAATGCTCATATGTGTGTATCTTCGCTAGCATATGGACTAATTTAGCCGGTTAACTCTTGTCATGCTTAAAGGGCCAGTTCACCCAAAAATGTAAATTGTCATGTCGTGTCAAACTTCCTTTATTCAGTAAAAAAACAAAAGGTTGGTTTTATTTGCGTTTATTACCATAACAGCTTCACATGAGATTCGTATCATGGCAGATACAGGTTTAACAATAAATACACATGCATTATTTTGCACATACACAGCTCTATATAAAGACTCTGTAAAAGTGTGTGAAAAAAAACTAACATTTTTATATGTCCATCTCAGAAAACAAGAGCTTTTATAACTCAAAAGGAGATATCAGGTAGGATGTGAGAGACTGACAGCCTCAGTCTCTCCATTCATTTAGCATCTGCATCGTTTTCCAATAGGGACTTCCGCTGTCCTTCTGTCGTTTCTGTTCATAAGTGTTTTGAACGACATGAGCGTGAGGAAGTGACATTTTTGGGGTTAACTAACGACTGTGTGTGAGAGAGAAAGCAATCTTAAAACCACAAACATGCTGCAAAGTTCAGCCGCAGATTAGAAATGGCTTTTGTAAGCGGGCCAACTAAGAGATTAATGAATCATCCGGTCAATTGCCAACAAGAAGCGTCTTCGACAACATGGCCAGCTTGCAATTTAGGTGATGTCAGAGCTTGCAAGCTGTGTAAACCGACCGATGGCCTTATATAGCGAGCGATCATACTTCCTATGACCCTATTTTTAAGAAGGGCAACGGCCAGAGACCGATCGTCCTGTTGGGGAGGGGTGAAGAGGCCCCGACTCACCATGACGCCTGAGTCTCCCCCGGTCCCGGGTGTGATCTCGTCCTCCCCACGGGGCCTGGGTCCCGGCTCAGCCTCCTCCTGCAGCTGCGGCTCTCCGCCCTGGTCTGAACTCATCGGCCGCTCCTGGCTCACCGCGCCTCCGTCGTTCTCTCCCTGCCCCCCTCGAGTCCCTCTGTTT